CTTTCTTTTTGAATTCGTTTTAAATTTTCTACTATTGGTTCTATAGTTTTTGTTTCTATATTATTTCCAAGCATTATTGCTTGATGCTTGGTATCTTCAATGAAGATATTCAAGCCTCGATTAAGTGCTTGCTTACTTTGCTCCAAATGATGTTCTCCATCATCACCTGATGATTTTAAATTTGTCATTTCACGAGCAACTCGGTCATATTGATGTTTTTCAATAGACTCTGATACATTTTTAGAAACATTATCGATTTTTGAAAACAATACACTTTGATATTTCGTATAGATATCGATATACTTTTCATTTTTCAGAAAAAAATCTAGTCTATTTAATATTTTGACAATCAATAGTTCATTCTTTAAAGCCACAACTTGTCCTGCGTGACGAAGTTTTTCCATTTTTTCTGCTAATTCAGTTCGATGAGATGATAATTTCTGTTGCCAATGTTCAAGTATGTCTTTTTTTGAGAAAAAAGAAAAAACTCGAGAACAGTTTGTTTTCACTTCAGAAACTTCATGAAGTCGATTTGATAGTATGCGAGTTTCATCGGATATTTCCTTTTCATTCGTATTTTGAAATTGTTTGATGTTTTCAAAACAACTTTCCATTTGATTTTGAACAAAATCACTATGATCTCGGATATATTCTTCTAAACTACTAAGGATAAACATACAATTATTTTTGAATAAAAATTTAGCTTTTTTACAAGCATCTAAATAATGCAATGTTTTTTCAGCTTTATTGAAATCTAAGCTTTTGTATTCTTGTTGCTTCCATTTTTCTATACTAAATGAATCTTTAATAGTAGTACAGATAACACTTATTGTATTCTCAAACCAATCATTCACTTCTTCTAAATGTTGAGTTATATCGCTAAAAATTTCCTCAAAACATTTCATTTTATTCATTTCTGATACTTTTTTATATGCAGAGTTGATTTTGTCGTAATCTTCAAGATCTAAAGGCATATCCTTAATAGATACTTTCATATTTTTTATATGTTCAATAAGTTTCTTTTTAACATCACTAATGACATCTGAGTATTCTCCAGGTCGATACTTTTCTATCCATTTGGCACCGTTTAAATTCAGAAGACATTTTGTGAGCTCATCATAATCAACATTTCTTGCTGCTTCAAATAAATTTTTCAACAACTGTTCAGCATTTCGTGTTGATTCACGTAGATTTCCAACTATTTTTTCTAATGTACTATAGTAAGATGGAGTTGTTTTAAGAGCAACAATAGAAATTTCTCGGATTGAATCCAATTCTTTCATGAAATGTTCTAATTTATAAAATGCATTTTTTTTCTTTAGTTCTTCATCTATTTTTTTAACAATATCTTCGAAATAAGTCTCGATTTTCAATAAGAGATTTTCATAAATATCATTAATATCTTTTTTTGAAATGTGTGGTTGAAGAGCAAATGTGCTCCTAACAGTTTCTAGCATACATACACAACTGTTTAAAATCACTAAATCATTTTCATATAATTTTTCTTGTTGAAACATACGATTTCATTTTTCTACAGAGTTCTTTATATAATCAATAAAATATTCTTTCAATTGAAAATATTTTACTTTCATATCTTCATAATCTAAGTGATTTGAGACAAATTTTATTTTGTCCAAATTTATTTTTACTAATGAATCGTTGATTTCTTTTTCTCTTAATTCTCTCAACATGATTTCCAATTGTTGATTTAAGTATTGTATAAATGCAGTACTATGAACAACTTCCTTTCCTAAATGAGTTTCTCTGAGTTCTTCTGCTAACTTAGCATGAGTAATGCATGACTGATATTGACTAATGTCTTCATCGCTCAAAATTTTTTGATTCATTAGACAACGTTTCATAGATGAAGTACCTTCTTCATATTCATTTTTCAGATGTTTAACTATATATCGAATACACTCATTGTAAATTTGTTTGATATATTCTTGATCAATTAAATCATTTAACTGTTTCAATTGATCAAGTTTGTACTTGACAAATAAAAACTCAGAACACTTAGTTGCAGATATAATACTTAACTGATGCCTTCTCACTTGCTCATGTACAGTAGCTCGTGACTTTTCTGTGATAGAAACTTGAAATGCTTCATCTGGGCGAGTAATAGCTTTAGTTCGTTTAAATTCCTTGAGGATATCTTTAGGCTTATCATTGATCGGATCTAAAACTCGAGCACCTGATTCGGTTTTATCTATCATGTCTTCAAACAAAGTCTTACAACCAATATCTGTCTTTTCAGTGTTATTCATTGTTTCTCCTACGTTAGCTAGTAATGCAGGAATCGTATCTTTTTCATTAGCAGGAAATTTAGTAAAAATATAGGAAAAAGTGTTTAAGTGATCTTCAATTCCTGGAATCAGTCCCACTAATGTACGAGTCAACTCTTTCACACCACCAAGTCGATCACCCATGCCTCAATAACTTATTAGAATAACAGGTTTGGCACTTTTACTTCCTTTTATTGCTTTAATAATACCGAAACCATTTGCAATATCTACTTCTGGTTCACTTGTATCCTCGAATCCTGGACTATCACATAACACAAAACTATTATTGGTAAGACCACCAACATCTTTATAATTTACTGTGACAGGTGTGATAAATCGCGTTTCAGATCGAGCAAATGGTGTAGTCGTTATCTTTTTCAACTCCTCATTTTTATTTCGACCGCATGAATATGATACATTCATTTCACTTTCGTTTCTTCTAGTTTCGAGCCTCCAAGAAAATGAATTGTAGTTGATTTACCTGCTCCAGTTCCTTCAAGCAGAAGAATGACATCTTTTCCCTTCATCAGTTCAGCAGCTTCATCCACTTTTTCAGCAAGTCGAAATAATTCTTGTATATTCAACGGTCTAATCATCTTTAATATCTTTTCCAATGTGGAAATAGCAGATTTCCATTTTTTACCTTTTACATCTAGCAATACTGTTCTCATTTCATTTTGAATCTGCTCAGACTCTAGTTCTTCAACCTTTAATCGTTCTTTTAAACATTCTAATTCATTTTCTATTGCAACTTCTAATTCATCAGGTATCACGATATTATCTGTAGGAACTAGTGCATTGCCGATAAGTTTCATAAATATCATAAACAGTAGATGAATAAGAGATTTCTCAGAAGAAGACGGCAACAAGGAGAAGTCACGGAACAAATTTTTCAAACTCTCTTTGTATATTAAATCTTCATCTTGTTGCGAGTCATTGTTTCCATCGCTATTTGTTTTTTCAAGAGTATCATTTCCGGTGCTCGATGTGTGTTCTAAATGGGAAAATCTTGATTCATTACCTGACGGGAGTGATGTAATTTGATAATCTTCAACTGCTTTCAGTAAGCGTTGCACAACCATTGATGCACTTTCATTTCGATCTTCAGACTTTTGTAGTGTTTTCAAAAATAAAGTTACATCAGGATAGAACTTTTCGATTTTCTTTTGTAACTTGTCAGGTCGAAATACAGAATCTGCTACTGGATCAATGAATTCTGTTCGCTGAATTTGCCCAGTTTCTGTAAATTCGATTAAGACTCCTGTCCAATGAAGATCTCCCAAATAATAGGGAATAAGCGTAATGTTTGCCTCGACATGATCTTCACGTGATTGTTGCAATATTTGTTCTCACTGATCTTCCACATCATCATCAACAGGTGCTAATACGCGGATTGGTTTTGAAAAACCTTCAGGATACTTCTGACGCAGTTTTTCTATTCCTGATTTCAAATCATTCTGAATTTGGGATTAGTGATCAGTACTATTTGTTAAAAGCTGCGAACCTTGTCGTTTCAGCCAGACAGACATAATGAATGGTCAAGAGTTTGAAATTTTCTAGAAGACTCTCTACAATAGAATAATATTTTATTCACTATTTTGAGTTGGAGAGTTCGTCGTGTTTTCCAAACTCACACCTAGATGAAAAAGTATGAGCGACACAAGAATTAATATAAATTTTGGATGTTGGTATGAATATGAATGGAGTGTGGATATTTAGTTCGATTAAATTCCTTGAGGATATCTTTAGGCTTATCATTGATCGGATCTAAAACTCGAGCACCTG